ACAAAAACATCTTGGCTACCAATGTTCAAGAAAATGCCACAAGATTCATCAGAAAGTGCTTCATATTGCAACAGGACAATGACCCAAAACACCCTGCTAGTTCAGGCAAGGAATTTATCAGGGTAAAGAAATGGAAGGTCTTAGATTGCCCAAGTCAGTCTCCAAATTCAAATCCTATTGAACATGAATTTCACCAGCTAAACAGGAGACTAAAGGCAGAAACTCCCAAAAACAAGCAACAGTTGAAAATGGCTGTATTAAAGGCTGGGAAAAGCATTTCAATGGATGAAACCTAGAGTCTGGTGATGTCTATGGGTGGCAGTCTCACTGCTGTGATTGCATGCAAGGGATTTGCAACTAAATATTAGCTTTTAAACTTTTACAGTTGCTTTAAGTTCAGTTGTCCCAATACTTGTGCTCACATCAGATTAGGGAATGAAACTCTAAAAGCGCTGTCCTTTTTATTTGGTAAAACATGAATGTGTTGAAACGGCTTAATAATAAAATGTGACATTCTGTAGTTTTGTCTCAAATTCATCTTTTAATAATTTTTGCAGACATCTTAACTCCACATTTTTATACTTACAATTACAATTATACTCCATAATTTTGTCATTACTGTTCTAATACTTTTGGAGGGCACTATATATATATATATATATATATATATGGGACGACATTAAATTTGCAGAAGGAGCTATTTTGGCTATATTCATACTGCAAATTCGTTGCCTTTCAGCGAAATGAGCCGTTCTGGCATTGAAATAGGTCAGTCAAATTATTCATGCAAATGCCTAATAAGGTGGTGTTATAAGCTCAGCACTGCTTTGTGTACAGGGGTAACCAGGGTAACCAATATTTTTCTGATTTTCAATGATCACCACCTAGTGTCGGAGAGTGAATTTGCATTTTTTATTCAGCTTGTCTTGCTGTTTTTGTTAAAACCTTACCATATATAATCATTTATGATTTTGACTCATCCCTTGTCTTAAAGGGGTCATATGATGCGATTTCAATTTTTCCTTTCTCTTTGGAGTGTTACAAGCTCTTGGTGCATAAAGAAGATCTGT